GATCCAGGGACTCCAGGATCATGACCTGAGCCGAAGGCAGTCGCTTAACCAACTGACCCACCCAGGCGCCCTAGGTCAATGACTTTTTAAAGCAACTTTCTTGAAAGAGGATGCTTTTCTTTGCAAAATTCTTCTTTCTCATCATTGGTCTTTCTTTAAACAGAATATGGTTAACTGCCTATAAATTATTTTTCTTGTTTTTAGAAGTCTTCTGTCACAGAACCCTTAAGTATTTTTGGAGGTTACTTGTATTTCTCTAGCCTTGTGTTTTTAAGAGAAAATCTGACTTTAGAAATATACATGAGAGACTTCAATATTTGGGCTAAAACGGCTGTATTCTCTAGAGTTAAAAAAAATGCTTTTTAGAAATTTTAATTTTTTTCATTTGGTTCTTCATTATCTGTAATAACCAGGGGAAATCTGTCAAATGAAATTCCTTTCCCCGTTTTGTTTAGTCTTCCTGACTTTCACAGTCATATCCTCATCTGGATTCTTATTGGGCCCTTACTAATATGCCATTTTCTGTGTATTATATATCTCTGTGCTTCTGGAGAGCAGCAGAACCCATCTGTGAATTTCAGCTCAGAACCAGCAGGGGGAGCTCACTCCCACAGGAATCTGAATCCACCTGGAAGGGGATGGTGGGGAAAGCAACCCAACTTTCTTCAGTAAGATTAGCCCTTTTGCACTGTGGATAAATGATCACATGATAAGCAACAGGTTACTGACAATGGTGCTGAGATAAAGCATTCTCAGAGCCAGCCCAGCCTCAACGGCAAGGCTACTATTGCCCGAAGCAGATGCATACTCTGCCTGTACCTGTTTTTCAAGGCTTGGCTTGCTAAGCTGTACAGTCTGAGGTCCAGCGAGTCTGGTCCCTGGAGTAGCTATCACAATGCTGGTGAGCTGGGCCATGGGGAACGTTTTGGCTATGGTTGCAGTCTGCCCATTGACGACACGGACGGGGTGGATGGAATTCTGGGAGGTAGGGAGGGTCGTGGGGGTGAACTTGGTCAGCATGACGGGCCTCTGGATAAGTTGAGGAGCTGCAAGCATGGGAGGAGGTGCTGGGGCAATAGGAATGTTATTCTGGGCCACAGGCTTGGGTCGAACCTATGGGAAAGAGAGGATAATTGTATTACTTAAAGAAACTTCTCAAGTCTTGTAAGTCTAAGACATTGCCAGGTTTTTCACACTTTGTATGTGAAATGGTATTTAGTACCAATATTTATTAATATTCATTTTGGTGTTATTAATTCTATGGTTGTCAGGATATATAATCTTATAAAAGACTCATCAGCTCTTAAGAGGGTCCAAATGTTACCCTCCAACATGGTTCTTCTGAATCCAAACCTTAGCTCCCTCTCCCATACCATGCTGCCTCTTCGGGCTGAGGTCAAATGCCTAATCCAGAGGCTGGTCTCACCCAGGAATTGTGCCCAGTATGGTAATAATGCTGCCGCTGGTCTTAATTCACATTCTAAATTTCTTCACGTCCGTGGCTTCAATTCAGGGTGACTCCTTGGCTCTCTAACTCCCTGTTCTTGGCTGCTCCTCTAAGTCACCTTTGTGGGCTTCCTCTTCCTCTGCCCAATCCTAAATGTAAGTATTTCTCAGAGTTTGTCCTGGAACCTCTTTTCTTACCAATCTCCTCACTCTTCCTGGGAGTTCTCACCCATCCCATGGATTCAATTACCATCTATGTACTGAAGACGTCCATACTTGGTATCTCAGGACCAGACATTTCTTGAACTTCAGAACCATATACTCAACTGCCTGTCATATATCTCTACTTGGAAGTCTCCCAAGAAATTAAAATTCAACATGTCTAGGGGCTCCTGGCTGGCTCAGTCAGTGGAGTGTGCGACTCTTGATCTTGGAGTTGTGAGTTTGAACCCCACGTTGGGTGTAGAGATTACTTAAAAATAAAATCTTTAAAAACAACAACAATAAAAAATCAACATGTCTAAAACTCACCTATTTCTTCCTCCAACTCTCTCCTTCCTCCTATTATCATCCCCTCAGGAAATGGTCTTTTCCTGCTAAATAAACTTCAGAACCATTCTTGATGTTTCCTACTGTACCTCTACTTCCTAAATCCTTCTCAGATATGGCTACTTTCTATCCTCATCCTGCCATCGCTCTACCTCATGTTTGGCTTACTGGAACAGTGATAAAAAATTATGATTAAAAACATGGGGTCAGCCGTGCCTAGGTTCAAATCCTGGTTCCTACCCCTTACTAGCTGGCTAACCTCAGGTAACATACCTGATTTAAGCCAGCATTTTTCAAACTTTCTGTACAGTGACCCTGTGGGCAAAATCTTTTCCTCTTATGCATGAAAGTTTGACCTGCAGTTAACTCTCCAGCTCTGTACCCCTGGAAACCTGATTAAGGGTAAGAATGTCAACTATGTTACCAGGCAACATTGCTTATGGTAAAAATGATCCCTTACGGCTAAGTTGAATCTGAATGGGGAGAATTATAAATACTTGATGGGACACCATGCTTTGGGCTTCATGAAGTGGGGCTGACTTCTGTAACTGGGCATGTCCAGTGTGGGGACCTTGAAAGCCATGGCTATGGAACTGTTACAAGATACACTGGTTCCTGTGTGGCGTAAGGCTTCTATGCCAGGATGGCTCTCCCACCGTTTCCCTGCACCTGAGCTATCACTGAACAGCTGTGGAGACTGCCATACAGGCTGACAAAAAATGTCTGATGCTGTCTTGCTGGTAAGCTCTGGTTTCTGTCTTGTGTTGAAGTGTGGGCCTTGACAGTCCCATGAATCTGAATATTTAGCTGAACTTAAGATGACCCTGTGTTGGGTGCTGCAGACACACAGTAGGGAATACATTTCTTACTGTAACCAGTACATGCATATAGACATAGACCTATATCTCTGTAAGACAAAAACTTCATGAGACATTACGTATGTGCAATGTACTCTAATGTTTCATATTCTGTTTTGTTCATTTTATTTAAAAACTCTGGTCACAATCCATTAAATTGATTTCACACAACCTACTCATGGGTCATGACCCAAACAGGGACTAAGCCCTAGGTTCCCTACCTAAAAAAAAAATAATAACTACTTTCACAGGGCTGTTGTGGGGATTAAAATAGATAACCCACAGAAGGTGCCTAGCAGAGTAAATGGCACATAGCAGGAGTCTTCAAACATTAGCTATTATTGTTGATGATGTCCTAACTATTCTTCTTGCCCACAGTCTTGATCATCTCCAATCTATTCTCCACACAATGACAAGAGGGAATTTTCTAAAACAAAAATCTGATCATTTCAAGTATTTGTATGGAAATGTTTTCATGGATCCCCGTTGTTCCTGGAATAAGGCCCAAATTCCTACATAGTCTAGAAGGCTCCACGGCCTGTGGCACAATGGGCTTCTCCAGCCTCACCTCTTACCCTAGCCTGAGTCAGTTACATGGCCCAGTATGATCAGCTACACCAAATTGCCTTGTGGTTCCTTAGGCTTACATGCATCTCTCCATACTGGATTTGCATATGGGCTCTACCCTCTGCCGGGGACATTTTTATTCTTCCCCCAAAACTTTGTCAGGCTAACTTTACTAGGATTTTAGGTCTCAGACTGAATGTCAACTCTTCTAGGAAACTTTCTAGAATACTCTTAAGAATGAGCTGGGTGTCCCTCCCATGTGTGGTCAGACTACCCGGTACTTCCCATAATGGACACTGTGATTGCCTGTACATAGATCTGAAGCCCTCTGAGGGCAGAGAACTGTCTTGAAAACTGGCTTTTTTGATACCCAAGGTATTTATTAAGGATCTACTGCATAAATGATTGAAATCACCTTATCTCATGTTCTCAATGCCCAAACCTAGTGCACAGGCAATTTGGAAATCACCTATGTCCACAAAATTTCTTACTCTTCTCTCTTTGCCTACAACATGGGGCTTCTGATGGGAACTCCTAGCCTTTCTACGAGGCAAGTCAAGTCCCGTCAAAACCCAGACTGGGGCAATCCTGACATCCTGCAATGAGAATGATGAGTTTAGTCCAACTGCTAGAAGAATTCTCCCAGGGCAATATGGGCAAGCAGAGCTGCTTGGGCCTAGGTAGAAAGTTCCCTGTGCAGACCCCTAGTCTAAACTTTTACAGGCAAGGCTTTGTGTTTAAAAATTATGCTTAATACCATTACTTCCCAGAGTAAAACTAAATTTCTCTGGTTTCTACTGGTTAGTTTGGCTATTGTTTCCTTCCCTACTCTCTTTGGCACACAGGAAAAAAAAAAAAAAAAGTAGTGATTGCATTCCTTCCCCACTGGAAGGCAGGTTTGGCTAAACTTCCAGTAAGTTAACATCATAAGGTTTAAAATGGGGCTATCTTAAATTCTCCTTTTCCTCACATCCCCCTGCTACTGCCTTTGGTCATTGCTAAGAAACCCCGGTGATCAAATAAGCTTCTTCCCAGTATAGAAATCAGCATCTAGAACCTTTAGCTAACTAAGTAAGATCTGAGCAAAGCTGAGCTGATAATCACATTTCAGGCTGCTTAAAAAGGGCCCATGAGGACTTCTGTCTCACCTAACCCATCCCTGGGCTTGTCACTGGTTTACTCACCTGCGGAAGGAAGTTTGGACGTGGAGTGAGTCGAGGAGGGGGGATAAACTGTGGTACTTTGATGGGCTGAGGAGGTGTTGCCTGAACCTGCTAAAAAATGGGAAAAATAAATAAACCACAGAGGACAATAACTGTTCAATATCAAAGCTAGGCGTTCTTACAGTATTTTTAGCATCACTATTCTCTGGGTCAGGCAATATTTTCTAGAAGTTTTCACTGTAGAATTAACCATCTGAATTAACACTGCCTGAAAAAACCTTTTCCCACCTGCACGTTTTACCCTACAAAGTGAACCAACCACATTTCTGTGTCCTTACACGCCTAATGTACAACAGAGCAGGCTCGGTAATCTTAGCCAATTTCCTTTGACATTCAAGAACTCTTGCACGTACATATTTTAAAAGTCAAGAATGGATCCAAAGTAAAATCAAACTTGCTGCCTGGCCAAATGGGCTTTTTCCTAATATAAGCGCTTTATCTAGCAGTGAATCGCTTTATTCCTGTAGAGAATTTTCTAACTCTCAGCATTTGGCTGAGATAACTGGTCACTTCTCTCAAGATTCCTGGTAAGTGCTGAAGCTTCACTTTACTGCTATCTCATTTAACTCATCACTGGTCATCATTCAAAAGCCACCAAGAGCGCTTAGCTGCAATTTTAAGAAGGGACTTTAAAACCACAATTTGGTTATATTTCCCCCAAGCTTCAGAGAGGATCAGTTTCTAAATGGTTTTACCCTAGAATCTCATGAAATGAACAGTTTTTGTTCAAGTAATTCTTCAAGGGATCTTTTTTTCTGATAGTCCTTGGGCACAGACACTGTTAATTTGTGAGTTTCTTGAATATTTTTAAAGTGCCTCAGCTTGTTCTAGTACTTCCTGGGTGCAGCCAATTTCAAGGGATAGTGAACTAAAGGAGTTCAGCGGGGAGTTTTCCCCAAATCAGTAATACAGAAGCAGAGAGTGTAAGCACTCAAGTTTCACAGGCAGGTCTGCAAATAGGATGGAGAGAGCTACATAAAACTGTGTGCATGCCACTACGAAGGACATTCCTCCCCAGGTCAAGTCATACTTTGACTGCAGATAATGCACTGAATGGATTCTGGTCCTTGGTGTCAAGGGACACCTCTACAGTTATTTGAGCAGATAGTAGGAATGCCATATTCCCTTGTCAGCCTCAAGGAAAACTTGATATGGCTGAATGATGGAGACTAAAAAATTCAGCAGAAGCATAAATTGGATATACTCTACAAATGCATATCCTGAACCCTCTCATGTGGGCACACATGAGTAGCAGCTGCTGGCTTACCAGAGTGACTGTGTTTTTTGCCACAATTTGGACAGCCTCTGCCCCAGGCCCAGTGACCTTACTAGACGTCTGGAGGTTGACTGGTGTGTTCTGCACATCAGTGCTGAGCACAGCCTTCTGACTGTTGATGGCGGTCACCATAGCAATGGTAGGTCTCTGGCCCACAACAGAGGCAGGCATGGTCGCAGTTGCTGCTTTCAAGACGAGAGGTAGTGTCTTTGTGGTAATCATAGAAGCTGTAGTTACAGTCTTCTAGGAGACATGGAGAACAGATATTAGGACACTGAAGTGTGGGCCCACTAAACAATATGCTACTAATCCCCAGAAGAAAACAAAGCAATGATTCTTATAATCCAGTTTCTCCATATAACAACATTTCCTTTGTGTACATACAGCACACTTCTTACTACAGGGAAAGACAGGCTCTAGTTTGTGCCAGAGTTTTCAAATTCAGCTTCAAGTTCATAGTAATAACTGCGGACAAATATGGGCACAGGATTTTCAACAATGAATGGGGTGGGTTTACAGATACAGAGTATGAGTGTACCTATTTATCTGTTTTTTTATTCTTTGCTTGCTCTCAATTAATTTAAACTCTGTAGAAGTTGCAAATCAATGGGGTATACACCATCTCTATCTTTAATTGCTACAACCTCATCAATATGAAGAAAGCCATCGTATAATTCTGGTTATCTGCCTCCTGTCACACAAATGCTCGGATGAAAGGACAGTGTCTTTTCATTCTTTTGATTGTCACCCTAGAGAGGAGGAAGGGAAACTCACATGAGGATTAGCACAACTGTTGCCTCAAAGGCAGTAAATCCCAAACTCTAGATAATAAAACCTATTAACCACCTAGTATAGTAAATACCAGCTCTTGATACCAAAGGGCTGTGAGTCACTAACTACAATCTTTTCTCTGGAGAACTGCTGCAGAAGCAATCAAAGATCCAGTGAAACATGACAAAGTGGAAGCAAACACCTGCGTTTCAAAAAGCCTTATAGATCAGGGGCGCCTGGGTGGCTCAGTTGGTTAAGCATCCGACTCTTGGTTTTGGCTCGGGTGGTGATCTAGGGGTTGGACACCGAGGCCCATGTCCGGCTCTGTGCTGGACGTGGAGCCTACTAGAGATTCTCTCTCTCCCTCTCCTCCTGCCCCTTCCCCACCACTAAAAAAAAAAAAAGCCTGATAGTTGAGAGGATGAGCAGAGGTGACAGGACTTGACTGATCCTCCACAAGTGCTTGTGCTCTGCAGCTGTAGTTTCTAGAGTAGTTAAAGGGGCAGTTACAAAAGAAGAAAATGCAAACAACCTTATTACATGGCCCACACACCTAATCTAGTGCCAGTACTCACTCAAGATCCTAAAGATCCAAACGTTTCAGGAACATGGAAGTTTATCTGGTCCAACAACATGCTGGTTCTGGTTTTGATACTACTCCACCTTTTTCTTCTTACTCTATACTGGCACTGTCCAATTTGGTAGCTCCCAGCCACACGCAGCATTTAAATTCAAATTAATTAAAACAAAGTAAAATTAAAACATCAGGTCCTCAGTCACACTGTCCACATTTCGAGTGTTCAAAAGCCACTGGTGGCTAGTGGCTACCAAACTGGACAGTGAAGATTTCCGACACTGCAGAAAGTTTGATTGGACAGCATTGCTCCACACCACTGAAAAGGACCCTGCTCTCCCTGAAACAGATCTGGACAAATCCCCTTGTGCATTTCCATTTCAGTGACTGTGTCCGTGCTTGTGTACTAAGCTGGTTTTTTCCTAGGTGCCTGAAACACAGATAAACACCATCTCATCTTTTAATCTCTTTATTTTCTTTTGATGAAAACAATGAGTGATCTGGCCTCATCTATCCCATCACAGCCCATAAGCAATCCTTATTAATGGTCTTAACTAAAATCACACAAATCTTTGTTTCCTCTCTCTAATCAGCAACACAGCCATGTCTCATTCTCCTCGCTCAGTGCCTCAACTGTGAAATGGGAGTAAAAGGGGAACACTGGTATTTATTCTGGGGGACGGGGAGGCAGGTCATCTACTATCTATCCATGATGAAAGCCAAATAAAAGCTAAATGCTGTTTATCATTAGAAATATTACAGTAGTGTAGGGGCGCCTGGGTGGCTCAGTCGTTAAGCGTCTGCCTTCGGCTCAGGTCATGATCCCGGGGTCCTGGGATCGAGCCCCGCATCGGGCTCCCTGCT